AAAATATTAGACACGTATTTTTTTATTTTGTTGTATAATAAAACAATACTTAGATAAAACGAATCAAAGTTTAGGAGTGGGGGCTAAAACGTCATTTCTTAGTATAAAATTTACTGAGAAGTGACGTCACGCGACATTTCAAATCAATATATCTTCGAAACTATTCGTTTCCGTAAGAAAATAAAAAATACGTGTCTAATGTTTTTAAATAATCTACCAGACGGACATTAAAATAAAAATTAGTCGTCTACCCCATTAAATTATTTTTATGTCCATAGAGTTGTGCGTAGCAAACGACTTTACAGTCTTACTACAAAAAAATATAGAAAGTAAGAAAGGAACAAGAAAGAAAAAACTTTATTTCACGCCAAAAGACAAAAGTGGCATGTACAAATAATTCATTCTATCAGTAGGTACTGATGGATACATGTTCATGTCCCAAGTCTACCGTGAAATGGGATTACATAGCCATATACCAATGTTTAAATAGATCCAAATTTCATCAACATATGACTATGAAAAGAAATGTTTGTAGTGACAGTGGCTGTCACTACGTGGATCACCTCTTTGTGTGATCCACAGATTGTTGTTCCGGGTCTGGGTGTCATGTATGTGAACTTGTATGTTTGTAAACGCACCCACGACACAGGAGAAAATCCAAGTGTGGGGCAACGATTTAAAAATAAAATTCAGATATGATAATTACTTTTAAATATCCATTTTGTAAGTAACGTCTGAATTACTGACTACCTACCCTCAGCTGATTACGGTCTCCTTTTACCTAGATACTCCTCTACCTCATAATAGTTTGACATGAATAAATTAGATGTTACAATATTTTGCAAAAACAGACCTCAAATAAGTAGTTACGTTTCATTCAAACAAATATTAAATATTTACTCAACTTAAGTTACATTTTTGCAATTTACTTTTGGACATAAATCCAAACAAACACAGTATGCAATGTTATCGTAGTAAATTTTCCTGTCCCTAATCATTCGACTTGAAAAATACTCTAAAACATATATGGTAATTAAATTACTAACACAACAAAACAATCAGTTGGGCAATGCGGATAAAACTATAGCTTTGAATACTAACAGGGAAAGATAGATCTAGATTGGTTGGATTTTCCAAGAGTCTAGACGGTAAAGTTAGGGAGGTTTTTTAAACGGAGGTGGATAGCCCGCACCTATTTAATCCGTGTTCTAAGAACATGTTTTATTGTCAAGAGATTTTATATAGGTAAAGTTGAGTGATGAGATAACTATTGAAGTACATGAAGACAACTCATGAAGAAATAAGAAGATTTTTGTTCCCATACCTTAATACGGCTAGTTATGGAGCTGCATTTTCCTGAGAACAACTTATTTAATAGGAGAGGGCATGTAGGACAGCCAGGTTGAAACAACAAAAATAAATAAGTACTTAATCACCAGTACAATACCGACAAATCTGTTGAGACATCTATTGTTTTGCAATTGAATTTATCCGGTAACCGAAGATATTGTTCAATGTTGTGAAGTTGTGATCTTACTTCAAGTAATAAGTACTATGCTGTTTGCCCAATACAAAATTATACAAATAATCATATAATAATAGAACATTATGAAAAACAATTGGAAAAAATCATTAAATGCAACTCTTTTCTCGATCGTTAATTTTTGAAAGAAAAAAATTACAAAAAAACAATATTGACACAAGACTTTTTCATTTCCAAATTCGATTTTTGCTCCGAAGGTACTTTGCAACGCCGGTTAGGGCACATCCCTAACATTATAAAATAACTAGGTAGCTAATGGATGAAATGATAAATAATGAAATCAATACCGATCAAAAAATGATTTTATTGTGCATGCACAATAAATTTGTCTCTTGAGAAAGCTAGTATAGTTGATACAGCAGACTTACCTATGTCGTAATATCTGACTGAAGTAAAGTTCAGTTTAATTAGTAAGGTGAAAAGGGCATTGTTGATTTTAAATAATCGTTTGATTTTATGATCTGTGATGGCCAGTGGCGTATACCCTTCGGGGACGGTGGCAAATTCATCGAATGGGGTGTCGTTCCCAATAAAAAAAACAGAGAAATTCAGATGAAAACCTCTGAACGGAGGCCCTTCCCAGCTGGGGGCTTGCCACCTTGTAGTTACGACACTGGGTTTAGGTCTTTTTTTTTTAAGGGGGGAAAATCATCGAATGACTGCTCCCGCCTGGGTGGGGCGGGAGGGAGTGTCAGACTCTTACTGACTAAAAACCACCCCGTTCCTTCTCCTGCACGTCGAGCCGGAGCCCCGGTTACCCGTTAGGTTCTTGGGTTTAGGTCTAGGTAACAAAGAGCGATAGCGTTGCTGTCCGATCACTGTCACATCGGGGTTGTCCATTTGTCATGGTACTAAATGTGCGGGAAGAGTAAGTGGTGACAAATAATATATTCAACCCTACCTGGCCCTACCATCACCACTCGGCTTATTAATTATTTATTTATTTTATTATACTTACATTATGTACCTACTGACGGCATTTGCAGGATGCTTACGTATGTATGACTCACGCACAGTTTACGTCGCCGATGCATGTGTTTAAAACAGCGCAGTAATAAAGCTTAATTTTGCAATGTAGGTATCAATATTATAATATGTAAAAAATAAGGTACACCTCTATATAGAATTCTAGATAAAAACAGTCGTGAATCCAATCAAACTAGGCATACCTCATGTTTTTGCACGACCACAAAATGATTGTGTACCAACAAAATAAGCATAAATACATAGGTACTTAGGCTCATGTTCTATTGTAGCAATCATTAGATAAGTACACACAATGCAACAGTTCAATGTCAAAGATCAGAACTCCATGATCACAATATTCATAATGCTACTCGTCATTTCTTTTCATGCAAAGTTATTTTTGTAATATGTATGAATTTATAACTTCACAATGGTGTACCTACCTACCTACACTTAGGCAGTCGGCTATATTGCGCTGTATGTCTATATTCGAATATTTTGATTAATCGAGTCAAACATGATTATTGTTTTGGCATATTTTTTCTTTAGGCATAGGTATATCTCCCTTCTTCAAACTATGTCCAGATTGTCCAGGGCAGTATTCACAGTTTATATTTCATACTTAAAGCGTGAAGGGGTTAACAAATAATTAGTGTCCGACCGAAACTAGTTTTACGGCCGAAACCGAAACCGAAAACGAATTTCGGCAACGGTGTCTGTTTCGGCCGATACCGAAACCGAAACCGAAACTTCCTTGCAAGGCTCATATTTTGAGGAAAAAATAGAGAAAACGTTATTATAATCAGTCAGTTTAATCAGTCTCTATTGTTTTTCTTTAGATCACATAGATTTCACTTTTAATCATATATGTAGTTAGTAGTTACTAATATCACAATCACAATAGACAATAGGTATAAGTAAAAATTGCCATATACTGTTTTTTAACGACATTGTTCTTTAATCATCGACGATTGAAGTATAGGTACTACAACAAAAGAAAGATTGTCTGTTAGGTATAATCTACACTTAATGTAAGGCTATCTTGCATATTGATAAGCAGGTATTAGGATATTAACACGGTTTCTTCTATTCTAATTACTAAAGGTTAGCTATTACTAAATACTATCAATTCTTAAAAATTTAATTTATTAAAAAGAAAAATAAGGATTTATAGTCTAGGTTTCTTTTAATTACTCACAATATTTAAAAAATCGACATAACCCGTGTCATAATCGGGTCTTTTACCTTAATAATTTCTCAAAACAAAATTGGTTATATGAAAGTTAGTATCTACTGTACTTGCCACTTGGATAGTATACCTTGGTGATAAATACTAAAATGAACTTTGAAACTCTGAATTCATAATACTATCACAATGAAATGCACTATAGTCATACTCATAACTAACTACCTAAGTAATGTTTGATGTTTGTTTACAGTTTACAATTGCAAACCAAAAATAATTTTAGGTTAGATTTACCTTGATTATACTTTTATCAGTCATATTGAATATTTTTTTGATGTTTATTTCCCGCACTTATGATATAACGACATAAAACAAGATAAAACTTACCAAATTCAAAATTAATCTCTCGAAAACTCGCCACCACAACAAAACAAAGCGAACAGCACAAACAAGCGAGCGAATCACGACATTGGCTCTGATCAGATTCATTCACTCATTCAACGCTCCGAGCACGACCGTTCCGATGACAGCGCGGAAACTCCCGACCGCACATTCGGTTTCGGCCGTAGTTTCGGCCAGTTTGCCGCCGAAACCGAAACTAAACCGAAACTCGTGTATTTGCCGAAACTCAGCCGAAACCGAAACCGAAACCGAATATTCGGTCGGACACTACAAATAGTTCCTAATTTAGGACATTGTTGTATTATGTACCTTCCTACGTCCCACGAAACATACTTAAACATAGTATTTGTTGATGTCCGTCAACAATATGAGGTAATATGTATCATAGTGCCCATGGAACAATTTTCCTACTGTATATTTCCAAATCAAGTCTGTATTCCACACAGCACATATTTACGAAATTCGTCCTTGCAACCTTCGAAACAAAGTACAATTTACCATTTATCTTTTATCTATGTAGTTTCATCGCAGTGACGTAATTTTTTTAAGCTACGTGATTGGAGATTCGCTATCCTTAATTTTCCGCAGCTTATAATCAACTGATTACGTTAATCATTAGTATTTATTTATTTCGTTGTAAAACCGTGATAATACCATAACCACGATTTTTACTGCTACACCTTGAATTCTATATAGATACCCTATTACCTATTACTACATAAGAGTATTTAGGACGATTAGGTACGATTACCAAATTAAATGAAACACTAAGCTCTGTAAGTTCATTCGGTACCTATTGGCCAGTGACATCTCCGCGATATTATTTTCAATATCATTTTATTGGTATAAAATTGCATTCATAGAACCAAAATGAAATAAAACTTTATTTCTATCATATTTTATTATTTATTATCTACAATACCGTTTCAAAACATTAATATAAGTAATATTCTATTCTCCTACTGTTTCAATTTTACTTTCTCGGTGGCCAGTGCTAATTTCCTGATGTTGCATAGACAACCAGCTGACGCTTCTTGCAGTACTGGATCCTTCGATCCTATTGTCTCTAGAAGAAACTGAACGACACCAGCCTGGAAGCAAAATACATGTTTATTGACATTTGACAGGGCCGAACTAGGTCTGAATTGAAGGGCCCCAGTTGCAATCAACTCGGGGCCCCGGCTCCAAGACCGAATAAAGATTATATGGTCATTTCTTTGTATGCCCGTTCTCTATCTTAAACTAAATGAATAAAATGAACTATAAAATATTGTTGTTCTCTCCGACTATAACCGGATTGCTTACAATACGAAAAAATAAGATGTCTTTATTTGTCTGATGCAACTAAGGATGTTGAACTAAAACCAACGCAATTCAAAATATCGTGTTTGCATTCCAAAACTTCATATCAGTTGAACAAATTATCTTATAAGGGAAAGATAAATGTTAAATGTTAAGACTCTTAAGGAAAAGACAACATTAAGTACCTCTTAGTACTACAGTTCCTCGAGTCACTACAATCTGAGTGTTTACTCTAACAATGTTTTTTCTTACTTATACATACCAACTTAGAATCACTAGTTCAGAATCAACGGTACCTATACAAAACCTATATTACCAGTGATGACAATTCCTGGTAGTTCTAGCCACACGGTTTTTCGTAGCGAAATCGGTCCAAGTAAAACTACCAAATCACTGAATATACAGTGGGTACGTTTCCATGTCGCCTGCTTTCATTTAATAGTGTGGCGACACATATCAAATGACAGCATGACAGTTTAAACAAATCAACGGATGACGTCACAAAAATCCTAGATCGCACATGTGACGTTTACATACGAATTAACACCGATAGAAAATCCCAACGAACAACTGTTGGTCAGAAAGCCCGCGAGGCACGAACACCTCGCCTGGTTGGAGGATCCTCCTTTTCCGATCTTAGGGAACTATTATACTCTCTGTTTCCTATAATAGTAAGGATATAAAGAAACGAAAGTGAACCTACAACACCCTTTTTATTTAAAAATAATATCGAAATTATTTCAAGGTAGCTTAATCAGAGCAAAACTGTTATTTATGAACGTACCCAATTACGTAACTACGAATTAATTAAAATAACCTTCATTCATTTAGAAAATAAAATTCAATTTTACTGGAGTATCATAACGAAATTAGGCAAAATAAGCACCAAGAGTATTAAACTTACTTAATTAAAGATTAAATCATTGCTTATTAGTACCTATTACCTATGCAGAAATACCTATTGTAAAGTTAGAAATTGTTTCTGTTCTACTGTCGTAGGAGGCAAAAAAGTCCCTGCTAAATAACTTTTCCGGTAATTATGATTATAATAATTCATAATGGTAACTAAAATAAATTCGCACCATACTTAACTACCATAATTAATTATTTTTATATCATAAAATGACTATGATCCAAGTGCCAAAACCAGAACAATGAAAATATTTTTAACAAAATCACGATATTCTTAAACAAACGGCAAAAAGTAACGAAAACAATAGTGAGAACATATTAAGTATATGAATAATATCAACGAAGACATATTGTTTTTCAACAGCATCGTTACTAATAATGTAATCTCTCTAAAAAATATAGTATTAACACAAATTTTATTATACATCTTTAAAATAGACGAAACTATATTCGTTGCGCAATAAGTCATATACAGCATTCGTAGAACCACACACAAAAAGATTAATTTTAACAAAAACTAAGACGCTTTAGCAACTTAATAGTAGACTGTAACGTAAAATTAAGGAAATGAACAAAGGTTATTTTTCGCATTCATGGCATCAAATAAGTTTAATGATTGTTTATTCACTCATAAAGAAAATTAAATATTAATTTAAAAATTTAACTCACGGCATGCATGGTGACACAGTTCAGTGAATAGAAGGAGAGATGATACAGTGCCAGTGCCGTAGACCTGTGCACATTAGGGTCGCGTGACGTCATGTAGTTCACCAAAGGAGTAATGGCACCACGCTTGCCAAACTCCTGGCGGTTCTGAGCCCATTCACAACAATAAGCGATCGCCACGCCAAGATTCGCTCGAAGATGGTCATCTGTCGTGTTCACTGCAAATAATGTCGGACTAATGTCATCAAGTTTCCACTTTTAATTTGTTTCTGTGAGATTAGGCACTACTTTATACCAATTTTCCTTTCATAAATAATTCAAAGAACTCACCTAACTTTGACAGTTTAGGAACAACTCCATGATCCGAAATAACAGCGAGATTCTCATGATCTCTTGCAATAGTAGCTATGGCGGCACACACGGCAGACAAAACGTTGTGGTCATCAGAATCTAGTAAGTCAACTGTCAGTTCCAAAGCACCCACAAACGATCTGACCATTTCGCCAGAGTCTGCAGCATTCTGCACGCAGGGGCTCAGAGCTAGCGCCGCGTTTGTTTGCACCTTCTTAGAATCATTTTTGAGTAATGACCAGATAAGTCTAACACCATCTAGTCGATCTATTTCAGCCATACAGTTTTGTTCTTTAGCACACTCCATTAGAACTAGTGGAACATTCTCTAAAAGTGGCTTATGAGTGTTGTTCAAATGATGTGCTGTAAAAAATATTTACCAAAATTTAAGTAACCTTGTATAAATATCTTACCACACTTTTATATACCTCTATACTACTCATAAACAAGGTTATACTTACTGAGCATCGGTATTCCACCAGCAATCCTAATCTTTTCTCTGTTCGGTGGGTACTTGGCACATTCTGCCAATGCACCAGCTACATTAGTCAATACTCCATCATTTTCATCATCCAACAATCTGACTAGTATTGGAACGGTACCCAGGCTATCCAGCCTTTTGACACTGGTATCACTGGTAGCACATTTCCAGATAGCTCCAGTTGCAGCTGCCATCAAAGGCTTGTTTGGTCTATTAGAGGTGTCTGATATAGCTTGAACCAACAGCTCCAATCCACCAGCGTCACGTATCATGTGTCGCGTCGCCGGATCACTAGCGCATTTGTAAATAGCCAAACTGCAGTACGTCTAAAAATAATATTGCTAATTGAACATGAATAAATATTTGCACATTTTTACGAAATATAATATTGATGAAGCCTAGAACACTAACCTCGGTCGGTCTTTACGTACCTTTAAGTCTTTGTCTTCATTAGCTAGATGTTTAATCAAGTCATCTACCATCTTCTCAGTTTGGATAGCAAGTTGGAATGACGTTTCGTTGGCACACATCTGCAATAACCCCGCCGCGGGGACAGCTACATCAAGGTGAATAGTTTTCAGCATTCGTGCTATCAAGGGAATCATGCCATACTTTCTCATAGCTTCACGATTTCTTTGTGATGCCGACATTGACCAAAGGGCTTTCGCTCCCGCTCTTGCGATGTCCAAAAACTGAAGTTCATGTTGATTCAAGCTTTCACGGGGTGTCAGCAAAGCTCTGAAAGTATCCGTGTAGGTTTTATTATGTTTACATTATGGAAATAATATGTATCCATCCACTCAATATTAGTACATTTCTATAGGTACTTACTTTTCTCTTATATCCAACAGATCAATTAATTTAGGTATACCACCAAATCTTCTGCAGAACTTTCTGCTTTTCCTTATTCTGCCCAAATTAGCTATGGTTTCTGCTGCCAAGATTTGAACGTCTCTCGCAGGATCTGACAGTAATCCTACTAACAATGGGATTGCTCCCAAGTCCGTCACTTTCTTCCTTATTTCAATGTTTGGAGTTATATCTTTAAGCACAGCTAAACCTCCTAAAATACAGCATAAATCTCGGGTTTCTAATAAATTGACTAGCAGCTCTAACCCTCCGATCTCTTGTATTGCCCTTTGATTCACCTCTATAGTAAGATCATGGTCTTTCAGACAGGATAGAGCTACCATAGTGGCTGTCTGGTTTCCTGCCTTCATATATTTTACTAGTTTCTGTATGTGCCAGTATTCTGGAGGTATCTCTGAAGATTTAATGAGGTCAGCCCAGTTGTCTTCCTCTGGTGACGTTGACGACGGGGAAGATGCTGATGTATCCGACCCCTCAGTCACCATCACAATGCGAGGCAGCCCGACGGTGTCCTGTCCACCATCAGCGCTGAATGTCGAAATGTTATCTTGTTCCATGGTGTTTAATTAGAATACGTTAATACTATAATATAAATAAGTTTTGTAAATAAAAATAGTCTCGCTAGTAAGTGTTGTCAAGCTTGTGTCTTGTCAATATGGTTGCCAAGCAATATTTTATTCCTTTTCTTGGGGCAATCTTTGAAAGGAAAAACATCCGTAAACGCGTATAAAGTGTTTGTTTAAAAATCCAGTTTTATCTACAACTGCAGTCTTTTCTAATAAGAAAATACAGAAAAAGAAAAAAGGTGTTTAACAACACAACTACAACATGTTAACATGTTTTAAAATAAAGGCCACATATTTTAAATAAATATTTTAAGCCCACATATTTTAGCTGTAGAATCCTTACTTTGTAATAATAATGGGTTGAATTAATTTAGGACAGCAAATATTCCTCGCTCTGTTTGGGTGGCATTATACCAAATGTATATTAAATATTTATCGAAGCAAAGATAACTTATGATTTATTTATTGTTTCAGTTCCGAAGGAGTGTGAAAGATGTTTTAAAACCAGAACACAATGATCATTTTCTGCTGCGATGGCTCAGAGGTGAGTGGATAATTCATTACTTTTCAATTTATGTACCTACAGCTACTGAAATGCTAATAAATGTAACTGAAACGAATGTAATTTAAATTAATTTAATCTTATCGATAGGTATCAATAGGTTAACGTAATAGGTTAACGTGTTCTATTATGGGTATAAAAAATATTACATTAAAGTTGGAATAGGTACCCAAACACAAATAAGTAAATTAAAATTATATTCTTTATGTTTTATTATTTGAATACAAAGCGAATTTGACTAACCTTGTATTTTTAGTTGGTTTTGAAAATGGAATCTTCCTTGTATAAATTAGATCAGTAATTCTTTTGCCAGAACGTAAAATCATCTTGCTATTGAGATGGTGTTAAAGTTAAACTCTTTTCGATTCCTCTTATTACGTTATTGATATGGAGTCACATCCACTCCCACGACTGCTTATGGCAAGATTTTCGACTGCACACGCGAAACAATGCCATATATACATGCTATTACCTAATGAAAATATTATGTTGTTCTCGTCAATAATCCCGAACCGGTTTGAAAATAAAATAAACAAATTATACTTTTAACTTAAAACATGGTCCACAAAGCAAACAGTGAAGTTGACTGACCTGCCCGAAGTACGTCAGAAATGCAGATTCTTTGTGTCATTAACAGAATATCCATCTTTGTTCTCTGTTAAGAATAATATCGGATAATATAATGGACTAACTAATATTAAAATAATATTTAAACCTTCCCTGGACTTCCACGAACTTTCCAAGACCAAAATTAGCCAAATTGGTTGAGCCGTTTTCGAACTTTAGCGAGACTAACGAACAGAAATGAATTTTTATTTCTATATATAGATATAGATATATAGATAGATATATGTAGATAGAATAACACATTCGTAGGTCTTTTCAACTGATTGTTGTTTTTTCATACATGTTTTTGTTGTTATCGGATCATCTACGAAAATGTCTACCTATAAGTAATAATGTTATTTAAATTCACACAAAAACATTTTCATTTTCAGCTAGACAATGGGACCCGGAGGCAGCCGAAAAAATGCTAAGAGACGTAAGTACCTACCTAATCGTTTTATCTATCATTCATAACATCCATGCCTTGAATGAGTAGTCAGAAGTGCGTACATAGTATCTAGTTGCCATACTACATATATGGGGTAGAAATTCTAAAAGGTTATTCTTAGCAAATTTTCCAGGGCCGAACTAGGTCATAGTGCCCGGGGGGCAAACGGTCCAGGGTCCCAAGATCGAGTAGAGAACAAAATTTTGATTGTCAACTTTAACAAGTTACTCAACCAAAATGAATAATACCTAAGTTTAAATTACTTAAGCTGTCTAGACACAATAAAAAGATATACGCTACATTCATATTATGAAACTGCAAATAAGTAATACTAAACTGTAGTACCAGATCGAAATGAATGAGTTTTGGTTCCATTTAAAAAAATTGAACTATGTACAGCTCAATGACTATATAGGTGTATCTATATACCTACGTATATTTCGTTTGAGCGACCACTCGTGTGTCTTTTAATTGTTTGTGGGTTTGATAATATTGTTATGACAAATTACAATTTTGGTATTTCTGATTAGTCGAGTTGCCGTCACCTATACATCTATGCAGATAAATAAAATAAGAGTGTTTGTAATATTGAATTAACCGCTTCTTACTACATGCATATAAATATACATACGAATTACGAACATACGATACTCGTACCAAAATAACATTTTTTTTATATTTTTTGTCTGTCTGTCTGCTTTACTGGCTAATCTCTGGAATGGCTGGACCGATTTTGCAAGATTTTTATTGGCAGTTATCTGATGTACCTACTAAAGAGTAACATCAGGCTACATTTATTATTATTATGTTTTTTTTTTATTAGAGGTATATATTATATATTTTTTTTATTATATATTATGATTATTATGTCGCGGAGAACCTAACGGGTAACCGGGGCTCCGACCCGACGCGACGTGCAGGAGAAGGAACGGGGTGGATTTTAGTCAGTAAGAGTCTGACACTCCCTCCCGCCTCACCCAGACGGGAGCAGTCATTCGATGATTTTCCCCACTTAAAAAAAAAGGCTACATTTATTATGGAAAATTGAAACAAAAAAGAAATTTTCTAAAATTCATATTCCTACGTGGACGAAATGGCGGACAACAGCTAGCATTGAATAATTTGAGATAGCAATTTTAATAGCTACGCATCCTCGTAGCTTCAACCGATTTTAATAATCCAGGTACTTTTGTATACCTACTCGACTAACTGGTTTCTTACGTAACAAATCATAAAAGCTTGTTTGTGAGTAAGTTCCTAGATACTGAAAGCTTATGACCACTAAGTAAATGCAAGCACTTTGTATTTTAGTGCCAAAGTACTTACATCTTGTTTAAATATTATAGAATATTGTATGGGGTAGGTGCGACACGTAACATGAACATATCGGTGTGATATTACATAATAATGGTTTAACCCATTGTATGCCGAAAATTAGATATACGCGAGACACAATGTGTTTTCTATTGTGTCGCATATGCCGGCAGATAAGAGGTTAATTTAGCATAAGAGCCGGGACATGCATAGCTTGTGTTGACATTAAAAAGTTTGGTCGATTATGTACCTACCTATCTACCTCCTACCTTTTACCTTACCCTATAACTAAGGTATTTCTAAATCATTTCTGCAGAATTTCACACACGTAATAAAAACATTACGAACGATATTTTTATAGGTTTACCCAATATAAATTTCTGCAATCCGCGACTCATCTATCTTTGTAGCCAAATTAATCAATATCGGTTCAGCGACTTAAGCACGAAAGCGTAACGAACGATCCTACAGCCATATTTACGATTTTAGTAAGGAAGTTACCCAGATTGTACTGGCTAGTACTAAAGTTTTACGACCAGGTATACCACTAAGCGTTTAGTGTTTTAGTGTTCAAACAGAACCTATTTAAATGTTTTGAAACTTAGGTAACACTGAAGCACCTGGTTCTTACATAGTTTCTTGGTGAAAGCGGGTTGTTAATATTGTGACTGACATATTAATTTCGCCATTTCCCTAGTAGAATGTTCTCTCTTAAATAGGGTGGGGTTTTTTTTAAGTGGGGAAAATCATGAAATGACTGCTCCCACCTGGGTGAGGCGGGAGGGAGTGTCAGACTCTTACTGACTAAAAACCACCCCGTTCCTTCTCCTGCACGTCGAATCGGAGCCCCGGTTACCCGTTAGGTTCTCCGCGACTCCGAATCGGCATCGGCCGTATTGGGCCCCATCTGTGGTGGTCTGACGGCTCTTTGAGGCGCGCGCGGAACGCGACGCGCCGTACGCTCGGGTCTGTTTCTGGTCGGACGGGGAGCCACCCATGCTCGCCGTCCGCAGGCCCGCGCTTACGGTGGCCGGAGATCGTAAATAGGGTAAGTAAGTTAAGTACGTTGGCCAAGTGACCAGCAATTGCCGAACAAGGGGTTTGGAATCTAATAGATCCCTATAGAAAATTTGCCACATAAATTACGTGATGAAAAATATCTATTTTATTTATACTCCAGGGTTAAGGAACGATTATTAAAAATATTCAAGAAATATGTATGTATGTATGTATGTGTATCAATGAAATAAAACTCGGACATGGAATTCATTAAACTTGAACTCGACATGCTAATGGAACCGGTTTTATAAAAATAAAAAATACTAGATAGGTTTAGTTTCACTGCAATAACCCGACGCCCGGCCGTGCACCGGTAGATATAGTAAACGTGTTTTCGTGAACATTCCTTCTATTAGTAAACAAACAATTATAATAAAAGATTAACATAATGGAAATAAAATATAGAATAGTCATTTGGAAAATTTCGGATGAAAGAACGAAACAAACTATTATTATCATTTGCATTAAAATTTTTATTATTCTTTTATTTTTGTCAGGGTCGGACTAGGCAAATAGAACGTGGGTGCCACTGTGGCACCGACTCCCGAGGGCCCCAATTCATGTCTAACACACAGTGAATAAGTCTCGTTTCTTTTCGTTTGCCTCCCAATCAAGTATGTTAGGTGGCCTAAGCGTTTACTGTAAATCAACAAAAAACGAACTTTCGGTTTTTCCAACATTATAAATTGAAAGAGCAATTGCAAAGGTTAATAAGGTTTATTTATTACTTATTTTTGTTAAACAACTGACACCTAAATATTAGAATAAAATAAAATGAAATGAATAATCAAGTTCTCACAATTTATCTAATGTTTCTGCGTTGAGACGATTTTACACCATAGCTTTATTATAAATCTAGGTACATAAAAGACTTCATCGTTAATAGACTAAATCGACTGTTATTAAATAAAAAACATATAACTATTTATTAGTTTATCACCTATTTATAGCACTTAAACTGACTGTACACACCTACTTATAATTTAAAATAAAACATGTACCCAAAATAATAAAACCAGGAAATGTTAATTATCATACCACTTTTTTAGATAATCAGAAATAGTTCACCGTAGGCACTATGCCGCCATTATAGTTACACAAATTTTAATAGGTCTTTTGTAGTTAGCTTAGCTAGATTTTGTTGATATATCCATCCATCTTGACAAATTTTACTTAGCTAGATTTTTGAGTTCGAAGCTTAATCATCTTTGGGCTGACTAAAATTTTATTTCATTTTAACAAGATCTGTCTAAATTTTCTTCCAGTCTCTGAAATGGCGAGAGAAATGGGGTATCGACACCACTCTTCAAACTTGGGAGGCACCAGAGGTGTTAACCAAGCATTTCCCCAGCGGGTCCACCGGCTTCGACAAAGAAGGATCTCCGGGTAAGTAAAATATGGTGCTACTTATATGTTGTTTAAAATACTTATTTTATTATTATTATAAGACGAATACCTGAGTTATTTGTTTTAATAGACTATTAATTTTAATAGTTAAAATTACGGCACGATTTGCTCATACTAATTTTAAAGATTTCGACTTTAACCTTCTCATATAGTTTTTTGGTCCATACTGTTGATTCGTACAGGGATATAATCTAGTCGAGCTCATGTGCAAAAAATACTTCTCATCGTCCTTTTCTATCCAATAACTACTAAAAAGCGGTTGATAACTCTTCGGTGCCCTGTAATACCAAGGACGCGGTTCTCTGAACATTCCGCACTATTGACCTACGAGTTCAGTGGTAAGATATCGGCATCCCGTATTATTCAGGTTACCTAATTAATTAAACGTCTATTTGTTAGTCCCCAAAAAACGAGCAGAATACCCACCAGCCTAGCCTAGCTAGCCTAGCCAGCAAATTACGCTCAACGTTTCGCAAATTAGGTATTACGAATATTTTAAACAAATAAGTAGACTACAGCTAATGTTCTAGCTAATTATTTGTCATTGATTAAACAATCAATAACCAAAGAAAACAGCTATTGAATATTTATACGAAATGGCTTATGTGACCTCTGATTCAAGTCAATCACCTTCATCGAAAATTATATCATTAATTTGTACTTCCTATACGTGGATTATTTTTGCAATCACAATTAATAGGTCGAATTTAAGTACCGGTTCATCATTTGTATACTTCGTATTTCTTCCTCAATCTTCTTCCTAGTCGTTAACACTCTTGGCAGAGTGGATGGTTTCGCACAATTGGCACAATTCGTCGCCACTGCAACCTTTTTTATACATTGGGAAGCGTACCATTGAGTACAGTCTCAATATCTACTTTTTTATGCCATAAGACGGTAAACGAGCAGACGGATCACTTGATGGTAAGCAATCACCTGTTCCAGGTGTCCATGGGCGACGCCGACCAGAGGAGTTACAAGTGCGTTACCGGCCTTTTGGGGATTAGTAGTTTGAGGATCGTTGGGGATTCAGGAATTGGGGAGATTGGGGAAGGAGAGAGTAATTGGGCCTCCGGTAACCTCACTCACACGACGAAACACAACGCAAGCGTTGTTTCACGTCGGTTTTATGCGAGGCCGTGGTATCACTCCGGTCGAGCCGGCCCATTCGTGCCGAAGCATGGCTCTCCCACATTTGTATTTTTTTAATTAATGAATTTAATTTTAAAAGGTTGGTCGTAAAAGTAAACAATTAGCAATAATAATCTACAATATTTTAACGTTTTAACTATATTATAGTGATATATTTAACTATGTATATAGTGATCTCGGTAGCCATATGAGCAGCTTTTGTACGTGTCTCGTAGTCGCAAGTCACACAGTCTCGTCCTCTCGTCGCATGCGTCGCTTCGCTTGCGAAACATCTGGGTCAAAGTCACTGTCACTCAGAACCGGAGTTACAATACACAAGTCATGAACTTCCCCCGGTTTCTTCATTCAACCTTGGCCATGAAACAAACGTTTAGGCAACAATATGTCAACATGATGTGGCGAATTTAAAATTACCATTAATTTTAAAATTAAGTACAACGTAAGGTCGGATAAAAATAGATTCTATTCTTGTCTATGGAAAGATTGATTGTGTGGCGCTAATTTTAACGTAGAAAACAATTTACGAGACTTAAAGTTTAAAAGTGGTTTCCAATTATTCGGCGGTGTTTCAATGAAAGACATTTCTTTTTAATACTTACTCTATTTAATACTTCTAAGCTAAACGCATGTTGGGTTATGAGAAACTCTTCGAGTTATTAATATATGGAGTAGGTACATGCAGGGAACCAGTTTTGCCGGCTGTTAAGTTGAGCCAACCATTACTATGCTAGTTATTCCGCTGGTCCCGCTATTTTCCAGCACTTCACTCGTTTAGAGGTTACACAATAAGTAACTGCGGCACTAGGTAACTTGATACACGAGAAGTACTTACTCACAACATTTTCATTTAAACGCATCATTTATCTAATATGTTAATAATCATACATCAAACATTTATTTAGTATGTTCTCTGTAGAAAATAGAAATGGGTAACAACTATATTTCGCCAATAATGTTACCTACTCTGCCTTTTTCCTATCTGTACCTACATTAAATTACTTTGGGGCTGGTTTCTGGTGGCTGATGGTTTCTAATTCTAAACACCTATATTTAATCTATTTCTAGAACACCTCTTAACACCTCAAGTAAACAAATCATATTTATTTTCAGTAATCATCGTCCCGTTCGTGGGGCTAGACGTATGGGGACTCCTACACTCTGTGACCAAGACTGATGTGATTCGCATGGTCCTCAGACACCTAGAGAACTACCTCGCCAGCGCTAGGAAACAGGCTGCAGAGCATGGTCCAGCCGCGTTAAAGGTACACCACACCGCGCCGTTTTATTAGCCTCCTATGACCTTTTCCAATTAGGTTAATACAATATTTGACTTCAATTAATTTAATACGAGCGAAATTTTGTTTATTAAATTCAGTATAGATAATATTTCATCTCCAAACGCCAGAGTCGTACTATGATCTTATGGGGCCCCTGAGGCCTACATAATTAATTGAATAATAAAAAAAAGTTATTATTTTGTCTAAGAATAAAACAAACAGTATGAAGAAATAGTATTTATTTAACTGTAGTAAAAATATAGCTTTCAAAAGGAACTTAAGATTTACAGAATTTATGGTTACATACTAATAATTTCAACAAAATTAAAAACTAGCGTTCGCTCCATTACGTTATCACTGAAAATCAGATAATGGTGTTTAATTAATAATGGAAATCATGTAGATCATGCATAGGATTGCATGCTTTGAATACTTAGGTCACAATCTATATAATTACTAAGAATGCACGTTGCGAATTGAGGAAAACTGTTGAATAAGTAGCTTGTAGCTTGTACCCACCCATTTCCCATATAACCAGTTGCTACCGTATTGATCTTCGAACTGTAATATCATATCGTTGCTTAGAACTATGGGTCACATACATAACCTCACCTAAATCAATCTGCTCCCAAGGGGGTAGACAGAGACTACGAAACTTCAATTGCTACGATTCTTTCGCTTCCTTAACAGTCATCAGTCTTTTAATGCATGTTCTTCGGTTAAGGAATCTTGTGTTACATAAGTCTATACAAATAAGACGTAGGTATGGTGCTACCTCCTAGTGCACTTATAAGCGCGAATCGCGAACACCGCTGGTATAATATGAATATATATACGGCGACCAAATTTTAATGAGAGAAATGGGAATTACGAATATGACGATGTTGACTTACAAGTGCCATAGTTTAACGATTAACAATTATGTAGTTCAATAACATATAATTATTACCACCACATGAGATTAAACAGCTTAGAGTGCTCAGATTTGACTAAGTCTTCATAATCTTAATTTCCAGGTGACAGTCATATTCGACTTGGAAGGTTTCAATATCAAACAGTACGCGTGGAAACCAGCCGCCGAGATGGTGTTCTCCTTGTTGCAGCTTTACGAAGCCAACTACCCTGAGATACTGAAGATCTGCTATATTATTAACGGTAAGAGAGCAAATCAATCAGAAGACGTAGAGTCATCATCATCATCAAATTAAAATACCGTAAAATGGGGTGGATAGGGATCGAGAGGTGAATAGAGACAGAAGAGGGCTGAATCGATAGTGGGAAAATTTTCATAGTATTAATTGACCCCTCTTCTGTCCCTATTCACATCTCCATCCCTATTCACCCCATTTTACCGCCTGCCTTAAGAAATATGATCATAACTTTCTAAGTGCCATACCTCTGATGATACAGATATGATCATAAGCTTCTTTTAATTAGGTATCTAATTCCTTTTGTTATTGTTCCAGCTCCCAAAGTATTCTCCCTAGCGTTCGCAGTCATCAAGAAGTTTATGCACGAGTACACAATCTCTAAGATAAAGATCTATGGGTCTGACGCTAAGAAGTGGCAGGCACAGGTTCTCACCACGGTAGACAAGGAGCAGCTTCCTGTGCACTACGGAGGTACCATGGTAGACGACAATGGAGATCCTAGATGTTCACTTATTGTAAGTTTTAGTACATTTTAGCTCTAAATTGTAAAATTGTTCCAGGGTCGGATTGGTTCAAAAGGGACCCAGTACCAAACGGTCCAGGGGCCCAAGATTTTCTTGATTGTATTTGAATAAAGTATTCTATTGCGTCGTTAGTCGAGTGGTCTGAGTGATTTAAGCGTCTGTATGGAGCGGCCGATTCTCGAGTATTAGGCTTCTTTCGATTTTTCGAAAATTATTTATTTATTATTTATTTTATTTTAAGAAAACGTTGCCCCACACTAGGATTACCTCCTGTGTCGTGGGTGCGTTTACAAACATACAAGTTCACATACACATGACACTCAGACCCGAAACAACAATTTGTGGATCGCACAAAGTGTTGTTCGGTGTGGGAATCGAACCCGCGACACGTTGCACGGCAGCCGGTTGCTCAGCCACCGCACCAACCATGCAGACAAATTAAAAATTCGTGCCTGGGTTTGTGCTCGATATACGAAAATAGTTTATCTCCTATACCATAAGATTCATAAAATAAATAGTGACGAGTCACCTACTTTTCTCTTGCATTTGCCATAATCCTCATTCTTAGTTGGCCGCTTGAGGATTCTGTTATATCAAAGAAAGTAGAGGGCGCTGCTGCCTATTTTGGTTTAGCAGATTATTAAGATAATTGTCTATATTGCCCTGTTTTCAGGTGAAGCCAGGTGGTAAAGTTCCTAAAAGCTACTACTCCAGCAACCAGACGTTCGATTCGGACAAGGAGTTCAAGCGAGTCACCATTAAGACTGGAGAGAAACATGTCATCGACCTACTCTGCTCAGATAATGATAGTGTTTTGAAGTGAGTATTCTAGTTCTCCAAGTTTTATCAGAAGTTATCTTATACTATTATGTAAAGCGGAAGAGTTTGTTTTTTTGTTTGTTTGTTTGAACGCGCTACTCTCTGTAACTACAAGTCTGATTTTAATAATTCTTTTTGTGTTGGATAGCGCATTTATCAAGGATGGCTACAGGCTATAAAACATCACGCTACGACCAATAGGAGCTGAGCAGAGCGTGTGAAACCGCGCGGAAGTATATAGTTTCATCATAAGCGCCACTGCGCCATTAAACATGATATTAATGTATCTTCTAAAAAAGTACCTACCTACTGAAATATTAAATTAATTGTTGTTTCAAACAGATGGGAGTTCGGAGTGGACCAGCATGACATAAAATTCGTAATAAAACGACGAGATGAAGAAGGCAACGAGACTGTCGTGCATGGGCCCCGGAAGGTGACTGAAGGACCCGCCGACGTCGGTGTCATGGCCGTTAACGGACCAGCCACATGTAAGTTGGAAATAAACAATTTGTTGACTACTTCTAGTAATTATTCTGCACTAATTACCTGTTACCTCCAGCACCTATAGACACTGGATACCGGCCTCCCCTATGTCTGCCATAATTCATGAGTTTGTATGTACCTACCTACTTAGATAGCTACCTAATATGGAGGTATGAATGACATTACTAATAAAGTACCATCCTTTTACAGATTCAGTGATTTTCGACAACAAGAGTGCTTTCCTTCGCAGCAAAAAGGTTTATTATGACGTCCTGATTTCTGTACCAACGCGGGACTTGAATATCAGTGACGATCTCACGGACGAAATTCAGACTGCCGCAGCATGCAGCACAGCTTTATAAAAAAAAAATGACTGGGCCCATAGACTAAATAGATTTATAATTTGCTCCCAAAAATTCAGCAATTAAAATATCACGGCAATTTTATTAACTGAATGTTGATAACGAATTTGTTGATTATTGACATGTAATTAGACTAAATAATCATAAATTATTATACCACGACTATCTACGATTCACTTCTTGTGATTGGTTGAACGAGCTACTTTGTTAACCTATATAAGAAGCCGATTAAAATAACTTCTATTTATTTCATGATCATGATGCAGCTGCCTTTAACCTTGCAAGTATTTTTTATAAATGAAGTTTTAATTAAATGACTCAGTACCTATCCACCCTACCTTCGGATTTTCTCCTGTGTCGTAGGTGCGTTTACAAACATACAATTTTACATAAACATGACACCCAGACCCGGAACAACAATTTATGGATCACACATAGAGTTGAACTGTGCGGGATTCGAAACCTCTACACGTTGCGCGGTAGCCGGTTGCTTACATTACTACTTATAATTTTATTATTTCCTTCTTATTAATATGTAATTTAAAGAACGACTTTTGAACTTTATCCTGTCTAGTGTCTTACGTCCAAATAATCAAACGCCGCTCTATTTTAAATTGCGCTTAGGAATAGTTCTGTCACTATTAATTCATTATAAAATGGTAGAGGTAGACTAACGCAGTCTTGTGTCGTGTAGCAAATAGCACAATAATAACAAGGTCTACTAAAGTAAAATTGTATTCAGTAAACGGATGATTTTGGGTTAAATTGTTTGTAATAGGAATAGGTTTGTGTATTAGTTACTTACATAAATGTTTATAAAACTTTTTTACAAATACAATTAATTATGTTTCACTAAATAGTTTAAAAATATAGGTAAAATGTACTTAGTAGGTCCCTAATTAGCTTTTTAGGAATATTTTTAAGACAAAATGTTTTTTACTTATTGATAGTGATAGTGGGAACTGATGGTTTACAGGTAGTACCTAAAATAAGAACAAATGCTATGCATTTAACGAAGTTATCTACATTCTTTGAAACGGAAGCATTTCTGTGATAGTTTTCAACAAATGTTTAATGTTTATAATATATATAATAAAATTTTGTACCTAAGACACGTTTTTTATTTAAAACATAATAAAATTATTTAAAACATAATAAAAACACCGAGCGGTCACCGGTGACCGCTCGGTGTTTCGAATGACTGCTCCCGCCGGGGTGAGGCGAGAGGGAGTGTCAGACTCTTACTGACTAAAAACCACCCCGTTCCTTTTCCTGCACATCGAGCCGGAGCCACGGTAACCCGTTAGGTTCTCCGCTACTATATTTAGGAAATTAGGACTAGGGTTATCATTTTAGCGATATGTGAAAATAGCTATAGGTGAGTGTAAAAAAACTCGATTATAAAATGACCTTAGGTATTTGTAGAAATAGGTACCTACTAGTAGTACTTCCTTATGTTTTACACTTTTACCTGTTACTCCTACCTACGTATTTTCCTTTGTGTTGAATTGCCAATGCACACTGGATTTTCCAGCAGCTGACTGATGTAGGTATGATCGGTAATGTAGGAAGGTAATATATAATTAATTTATATACAATTACACATCCAAAAATCCCCTATGTAACAATAAGAACTTCAGATTTCGTGCGTAATGCTACCTACGCACCTACCTACGTAGTTAATTAATCATGAATTCGTCATTGTAGGTAGGTACTTAGTGTAACAGTAGACTGCCCCGTTGGCTGAGTGGTCGCAAGTGCGACTACTGGGCAAGAGGTCTCGGGTTCGATACCCCGGGTCGGGCAAAGTATTACTGGGTTTTTTATAAGAAATCTCAGTAGTAGCAGAGACTGGAATTGCGCCCGGTATATGGCAATAGACTCGCGCTAGGGGGTGAGTCTATGTAGGCATGGGACTCATAATAACATAGTGGATAGTGAGTGTTACATTGTATAGTGGCATTAAGAGCCGTAATGTGCACCTCTACTTGCCCCTTTGGGGATAAAGACGTGATGTTATGTACCTAGTGTGTCTACTTTTCGTTAAGAGTAGGCAGTCTTGTCTTGAATGAGACAATTGGAGAAGTTGCCAAGTCAGGCACCAGCTCAACACTTAGGTACCTTCTAACTACACACCCTAGTAAAACTCATCCATTTTCCGAAGTTACTCAATGTCAACTCGAAAACTCCTTTGTGAGGTTAATAAACTACGCGTTTATGTATATAGTTTATATTTTGCTACTAGATCCTTAATTATTAATGTCACTATGATAAACTGAGATAATATTGCAATGATGTAGCAATAAACATAGATAGTACTGCCACTATCTTTCTTATCTTAAAAAATACTAGACTGATAGTAAAGGCAGAATGTTAGATGGCATTTAAATAAAACAAATTAAAGATTTTTGTATCGATTTTAATGTGAACTTCACTTTCTTATGTTATATACAAGAATATAATATATTATGTTAGATTAGAGGAGTTACTTGTTGAGTTTTCAATCTTCGTCTTCAAACAGCATGTTCAGTAGGTCTCTCTTTGCACACTGACTGCCTTCCAGTCTCCGAACGCCATTCCACAGAATGATTGTTGGAATCACCATGAGTTTCGTGCGGCTGTCTGTCCGGAATGGACAAGCTTTGTCCTTCCACCTATAACACAAAATATTAAATACTTATTACAATACAATATTACAATATGCAATACAATTCGCAGTCGAGCCGGTGTGAACGGACGCATTCGCTATTCATCGAAATAAAATATTAATTATTTTAACTACATCAAATATTGAACCTAATCACCGATATAATAAATCTCAAAGTTAAATTGGATTACAAAATTGTGGAAATTTCCACAACATTCGCATTAACCACAGACTCGTCAAAGGATAGACAGCCAAGATGTCGGAATCACCAAGCGATGGGGCAAGTTCGATTCCTGACGTGTGAGGAATGACAGGTAAGGAATCGAGAATAAATGTCACTCGTCGCAAGCGTGGATATAGTGACGAAATTTCTCGGGAGTTGACATTACTAAATGAATGGAAAAAGGATTTTAGACAAGATATAATGCAGACAAACGGTACACTGGACAAAATGAACGAAAACACCCAAGAGTTGATTTAAATCGGAAATTGCCAGCATTAGAAAAGAATATTCGGAAATAAAGAAATCTATACAAAGAATAGAAAATAGACACACGAAAGTCTGGTTCTGGTCCGGCGGCGAGCCACCCATGCTCGCCGTCCGCAGGCCCACGTTTACGGTGGCCGGACATCGTCTCACGATCCCCGACGCCCGGTTGTGAGGAAGTAGCGCTTGGCTGCCTCATGCGTCCCGCCTCCTCCTTAGCATGACTGCTTCGCAAAAGGAGGAGATGGCATTCCAGTCCAGTACACTGTGATTCTATATTATTGCTAAATTAAATACACGCCAGCCACAAACGTTGATCATTTATGTGTTGTTTCGGTCTAGACGATTTAATTTACATAGTTTTATTATTTAAGTACCTACTTATTTTGTAGTTTCTGGACAAAAAAGTAAACAAGAAGACATTTTTCAGTCAGGTATTTTATCGTTATTTTTCTATTAATTATACTAGGAATTTAAAGGGTTGCTTACGCCATTGTTCGATATAAACTAAGTGAAAAAAAATTATTACAATGACGCCCAGTAATCTGAATATTTATTACCAGAATTGTCGTGAGTTAAATAACTAAATCAACACAATTCAGACTAAATGCTTTAAGCGATTGTTGTTTTTAATTATTGTGACCGACACTTGGTTGCTTGACGGCATTCTTGACAGGGTATTGTGTGATAATAGGTATGACGTTTTCCAAAAAGACCGCGACCTTTCTGCTTAGTCTTCAGGTAGTGGCGTAATGATGATGTAATGTAACTAATATCGTAACGCTGTTGGTTTTCTAAATAAATAAAATTAGCAGTGAGCTGCGCGATGTCGCCGCGACCGCGCACGCTGCTCATGAGGAAGAACCCCTCTGTGGTTCGAAATTAGTAGAGCTTTTCTCAGTATATATGCGTGAGTAACCCGTGATTTTACTTAATTTGGTATGTCTAACGAGTTATTATAAAAAAATATAATTACAATACAAAAGAAGATAAAAGTTATAAAATTGCAAAACAATCTCATATGTCATTTAGTTTATCAGCACATGTCTGTTCAACTCCATAAATATAAGTAATAATGGTGAGTATTGTCATTGGTATAGCAATAAAAAAAAATCATGATTGGTTTTAACATTAGAAAAATAAATGACAAAGTATATGGAATCAGTCTGTATTGTCTCCTTGTAGGACAAAGTTGTGTTAATCATATAGTGATGGATATGAATATCAATTGTAGTTATGGAATGGCTGAGTACTGTCAGCCATTTTATCATTACTTTTTACATACTAAATTAGGTATAATTTCTATGATAACATACCAAAATGATACTTAGAAAGCAGTTAAATACTTGTAACAAGCCAATTTAGAGATCTTTGGTAAAAATCTTTGTTCAGGACTAAAGAAATAAATATTTTGTGATTCCGTTGTGGCTGATCAATATGATGACGAAGTAGTGACAGATGATACTCACGTTTCACGGTTGCCGACATCAACATAGACAAATGTGATTTCTTTTTTCAGCTCATTTAGGTAAGCCTTCACTACAGGTTCAGCTGGAAAAATAATTTAAGAATAATATTACCGTTTGTATATGGAATATATTTTCAAATGAATATGTCATAATCATAATCTCGTGCTATTGTTCTATTGTGCGGCAGAGCACAGAGTGCCCTAGGAATACTCACAAAATAAAACATGATACATCATGGCATGATAATGAAGCAAATCATTGTAATTATATACCATTAACTCTGAATATTTTATTTTTAAATATCGTATAGTGGTTACAAACATACAATTTCACATACACACAATATACATAAAAAGTTGTTCCATGCAGTGTGTAGCAGGCTACATGTTGAGCAGCAGCCAGTAGACTAGGCATCGCGCAAACTATGCAGTTGTATATATGCTTCCTCTGTTCGATTAACTGCCTGTTTAACTAGGTTCCTTAGTTTTATAATATCTAGCAGATAGTTTAAAAATTATGTTCTAAGTAGATTGTGGTTGTCAAGATATTGTGATGTAAGACAGGCCATAGGAGTATCATCTAACCCAATTGACAGGAAATGCACCAACTACGGCCATCCTCCTTCTTTTTGCCATTGAAGAAAAAGTAAACTGGAGGACCATTTTCAGGTAACTTTGCAACATATGATTCAAATTGATTATAATAAAATAAATAAATAAATAATCTTTATTCATAAATTAAATGGACACAGATACAAAAATATTCCCAGGATAAGAAAATATTCATGAAGAGTCACATGTTTCACTTCCATTTAAAAAAAAATATTAATAAAATTAATAAATTAATTAACTCGTCGAGTACAGTCATTAAACTGTCAAACACCAAGCGGTCACCAGTGACCGCAACCTATTGTTCTATAATTGTGTCTATAATGACGGTACTCGACGAGTTAAAGACACAATTATAGAACAATAGGTTGTGGTCACCGGTGACCGTTCAGTGTTTGACAGTTTGAAAATCAGTTATCTATATATATAAAAGAAAGTCGTGTTAGTTACACTATTTATAACTCAAAATCGGCTACATCGATTTGGATGAAAATTGGTGGGGAGGTAGGTTAGAACCAGGAGACGGACATAGGATACTTTTTACCCAATACTTTTCTTTTACTTTTTACCGAAAATCAAGAACGGGAACGGGAAATATCGGGATTGCGCGTACGAAGTCGCGGGCAGAAGCTAGTTTGACAATAAAGGCATTTGACTTATCAATGAGCTACCAATTGTACAAAGAGCTTGTAAATATCGGCATTGTAGATATGTTATATGTTGGTTTATTGTTAAAAGTATTGTGCTAATAATGAGGCAAATCTAAAGATTACACATAAACCTAATTTTATTCAAGAGCACAAGTGTTATTATTATCATTATAGTTTGAATAATGTTCTGTCTGTCTGATTAAAAGTATCATCTCACCCATTATACAATAAATGCACCAACTATGGCCATTCTCCTTCTTTTTACCAGTGAAAAAAAAGTAAACTGGTGGACCAGATTCTGGCAAGTTTACAACATAAGTTTTAAATTCATCATATTCATGGAGAGTTAGATGTTTCACGTCCATTTACAAAATAAAAAATCAAAACGAAATTAAAAATCAATCAGTTGACAATCAATCAAATGGCTTCATTTGACATATCAATAGGCTACTAATTCAGGAACAAAGAGGACGTAAAATATTGGTATTACGACCTCCACGAAAGTTGAAATAAATGACATCGACTTTTTTGTAAATAATGTAAACATCGCGTTATTCACACTTCGTACTACGCAACGAGTACGTAGTACTACGTAGGTATACGTTCAAATGATTACATATTACTATATTTTAGTTAAATTATGCGGTACTCTGAATACATTATGACTAATTAAGTAGTATTTAATTAATTTATGGTCTGTACCTTCAACACAATCAATGCACCAACTTTCTCCAGAAGGCAGCTTTTCACCACTGAAGTACACTACTACGGGGCGGCTATTTGGTTGATTTGGTTCTATGTTAGCAACATATTTTTGAAACTCCTCATATCCATGCAATTCAAGTATCGTCACCATTTTCACTTAGAATACACAAAGGAAATTGTATACGGCCGGTAGAAAGGATAACAGGGCAATGACAGCAAGCAAATGACACGATTGATTTTGTAATCAAATGGTGACACATGATGACACTATCTTTCAAAGTTTGACATAAGTTTGACGTACTCTTGTCTGTGATTACAAAAGTTAGCCAATAGAAAACGTTTGTTCTGCCATAGACAATAACAAAAACGTTCCGCTACGCGTATTTTTTGACATTCGGTTAGGTTAACTTACCTACATAATTATCTTTGTGTCTTTGGAACTTAAAACTTCTGCTCATGAGTATGCGTACAACAGAACATAATATTGAAGCTAAATGAAAACGGTTTTGACAGATTGAACTGCAGAAACGGTTGAAAATAAAGATTATTTGAATGTTTACTTGTGAATTCCAATTGTTTTTAAGTTTTAATTGGTGTCTGAGTGATAAAATCTTTCACAATGGATACAACGACGAGTATAAAACCGAAGTCAATGGCTGAATTGTTGCCTGGGCTTAGTGGTAAGTTTTTAAAAGTTTGTTTACTCCCGAAAGTTTTACACTGTAAAAGAACTAACACTGTGTAAGAACTTTCTTAGAAATACTGATTTAGCTAACAAATGGAAAGAAATTATTTTCAGTAGATATTATGAATACACCATTTATTTTCTAGGTATTCTGTCTAAAGATAGCATGCAAACCCTGACTGCCAAGAAGCAACCTCGCCAAACGATGGTACAGACTCGCACCGCAGAGAAGGTTGTCAAACCTTTAACAATAGCGGAAATGAGAGCTGATATACTATGTAAGTAAACAATGAAAACATAATATACATTGTTCCTAATAACTATGTAACACTTATCATAACAGCTATTGTTTGTGACTTATAAAATATAGAATTGACTGCTGTATTGTATTTTCAGAGATAGACAGAGAACACTTCAATAAAAAAATTAGTTTTTTATTGAAGTGTTCTCTGTCTTCAATTTCATCTTAATTGTTTTTATAGATTGATATAATTAATGATTCTTTCTTCATACCCATATCCCTCGATGTATTTAATGCATATTTTAACTTTTCCAGCGCTAAGAGTACAGTCACCGAGAAGACCTGCACAAGGAGCTACAAGTGCTAGGAAGAAAAACTGGAACTCCTCCGTCAAGGTGGACAAGACAATAAGCCATACAGCCAATGGCAAAATGAAATTAAATCCTGTTAGAAAAGTGCTTAACTTTCAACCTAAGCCTAAAGTAAGAGAACATAATATTTATTTTTTATACAAATAATTTTATTACAGAATGTCAAAGATGTTTATAAAAATATTATACTTTAATTTCAGCCTGTTATGAGTAATACTAACACGAGAGTCACAATGGCCCCTGAAGCTCCAAAGTTTCCCAAACCTGAATACAGACCAAAGAAGTCAATGTATTTATTACAAGGTTTGTACATACACCATTCCATATCTATGTAGTTCCTTCATTCTTCTTTACAATTTTTGTATATAATATTCTAATAATTTCAGCTCGTAATAATGTAAGGATAAGTGGAATAAACAACATATCAGAAACACCAGTTGTAACCAAACCAGCAATCAGCCGCCTCACACTTGCCAATAAAGAAAATGTCTCCCATCAATCGAGTATCAAGAAATTCATTCCACCTAAACCACTGATAAGGAAACAGATTATACCAACCATACCTGACACTCCAATGTCTAATGAATCCTGGAAGTCCAGCTGTGATGCTAGCTTCTTGCAAAAAGAAAAGGAAATTAATGATGCTGAGGCCAAAACTAAAGCAATAATGGAGGAACCCACTCTAGAGAACATTGCCGCAGTCACTCCACCTGTGTCTACACCATTCAAAGAATACAGAAGTGTACAGGAGTACTTCAATCACTCCAGTGAATTAGAAAGTTCTGCAGTGTACCACGACAATACCATCATGAGCTTTGATAAACCTTCAGAGAGTAAAGAGAACACAAAGAGAGAAGAAAGTGTAATAGTGTCATTATGTGATCTATTGAACAAAGCTTCTGTAACCACTACAGGGAAAATGAGCACAGAATTAGAAGATTTATTGCAGATTGAGAAACAGACAGAACATAACTTGAAAATGATAGATAACAGTATTGCTGCACTCAATAAAATCAAGGAGTCACAACTGACTTCTCTCAAGTATGTCAGGAAACTAATAAATGATAAGAAACCACAAGAGAATGGAGACAAAACTTTGACAGATACCAAAGAGACTGCAGAAGCTTTAGTAATGGTGAAGAATGAGAAGTCAAGTCCTGAACACAAACCAGTTGTTGGCAAGCCATGCTCAGTGATCAAATCTTGCTCAAAGTCACCATCCTATAAAATACCAAAAAAGAATTTGTGTTTAAGAAAAAAAGTGTTTTGTAAATCAATGCCAAATGTTTCAAATGAAACAGTTACACCTGTGAAGTCTGATATGGGCAACAGAGCTCTAAGTATGTATATGAAAATGAAGGAACAGATGAATTTCCTGAACACACCAGTCGCTAAAAGAGATTATCATGTGCCAGATACACCGGCTGTTACATCTCACAATTTACAAAAGCAGCTCGACAAACTTTATGATGAGAATTAGGGTAACTGAATGAATGTTCAAATTAATTTAATTGTAGAATAAGTTTGTATAGAAAGCAATTATATTTTAGATGAAATTTTAATTTAAATACTATAATATGATCATTTTATAAGTTGCCTTATTGTATATTAGAACTGTTGTGCTACAGGTTGGCTTGGCAAAAGCCACACAATTTACATTTTACTAGTATGTACAAAGAAGTGACTGAAAATTGTGTTGTAACAAAATGCTTTACATTCGATTACTTATTCTAACAACAATGTAGTTAATTTAATATATTGTGTAAAGATTCAATTTATTGTAACAATGAGCATAATGTAAATTTTTTACTGAATAAAGACAAATGTAAACAAAAGTTAGTTTTTTATGAAATTAAATGTTTAGTGAAATATTTTTACATTCAAGTTTAAGCTTTATTGGCACAACTCCTTATAAATAGCAATATTTTAGTATCTTGTTTCTCAAAGCGAACGTTACCCCAGCAGGAAATGTTTTTGTGAAATAATTAAAAAACTATAAGCGCAACAAATTTTAAAAAAGTGCGCAACAATGACAGTAGTCGCTCAACTAATTATCTATAAGATTCAAATGACCATTTTCGACAACATCTGGCCTGGGTAACGCACACGTCCACACCAACTTATCCATACCCCCACCTTTTTTTCCCATTATCTACAAATTCTACACCAACCGAGTTGTCCTTGGGTGCATTTCCATAGTACATACAAGGATAGTTGTGTCCATTTAGATTAAAGTTAACTGAAAATAGCGGGTTACTCACGTGAATACTGCGTGACATCGCCGCGACCGAGCGCGCTGCTCATGAGAAAGAACCCCTGTAAGGTTCGAAACTAGTAGAGTTTTTCTCAGTATATTCACTTGAGTAACCCGCGATTTTTAGTTATTTAGTGTCTCACGATACTTAGTTATTATAAAAACATTAAAGTTGTCTAAAGGGCCTTTGCGGAGTTGGCTTCGGCCCCTCGTACGCCTCCCAAATGACCGGGACCCTGTGGTCCCGTGTATGATGAAGACGTACATAATCATAGTTCCTGTGAAATAAGAAATTATACTTGTATTATACTACCAGTTAATTCCGCACGGTTTCACCCGCTCTGCTCGTTTTTTTTTATGGTATAGGAGGCAAACGAGCAGACGGATCACCTGATGGTAAGCAATCAGCGCTGCCCTATTGTTCGTAGGAAGCAGTAGTAGTAGTAATCGTGATGTTTTATAGCCTATAGGTACCCTCGATAAATGGACTATCCAACACAAAGTATGTTTTTCGAATCGTGCCAGTACTTCCTGAGATAAGCTCGTTTAAACATACAAACTCTTCACCTATGTTCATCTTATATTATCATTTAAAACTGAAAAGTTTCTTGGTTTGTTTGGACGCGCTAATTGGTTTCCCCCAACACTAGGATTTTTTCCTGTGTCGTGGTTGCGTTACAAACTTACACTTTCACATACACATCACACTCAGACCCAAAACAACAATCTGTGGATCAAACAAAGAGTGGTTCCGTGCGGGGACCGAACCCGCGACACGTTGCGCGGCAGCCGGTTGCCCAGCCACCATGCCAATCGTGCAGTCAAATCTGTGGAACGAATAATGTTAAAATTTCTTTTTGTGTTATATGGTCCATTTTCGACAGAGGAGTTGCGATACGAGCAGTCGGCCTATCACATACTCTGGGAGTGTGACCTCTGGCAATATGAACGTAACACTATGTTGAATAATTTAATTGTTTCGTCAGGTGTAGCTTATTATACGGACCTTGTGGAATCTAGAACAAATTTCCGTGCGTTTAGGCGCTTTTGCCATACCTATTATTGGAAGCAAGTATAAAAAAAAACAAATTAGCTTTTAGTCAAATTTCCGTGGTGCTTGGCGACTGGGCTTCACCCAGTTGTACAGTCTCTTCTTTGTGCCTTTAGGCTTAATTCATTCTGTCTCCTGGAGTAATAAAATTCATCGAGGGAAGTGGAAACTACAGTTTTTTCTTCTTCTCCTCTTATAATATCTTCTGATTCACTTCGATGCGGGAACCAAGACAGTTACTCATTTCCCTGGGACGCGCCGGACTTCAATGTTCCGGTGTTTTCATGGTTGTATCTACTGTAGATCCTGGCTTACAGGAGTTGCAGCGGTTTTGGGAGGTTGTGGCGGGCTTGTCCCATATAATAATATGGTCCATTTATCCAGGAAGGTTAAAAAGTATCACGCTACGACCAATAGGAGACAAGCAGAGCGAGTGAAACCGCGGAGCGGGTGTAGCTAGCTATAGTATAGTTCGATAGATTTGGGTTCAAATATGTAGTCTATGAATGAAGAAAAAAACAGGTTTTACAACATGAAAATGACACATTTTGACAATCAAGATGTTTGACACATGTCAAATTATCGTACGATATTCTCTTTGGATTGTACTACGTTTATTGATAAGCGATAACAAAATACTTTCATTATCATCAGTTTATTCTGTAAATACGTGCAGAATAATCAAATTAGATAATTATAGTTCATTGCGATACTTGAAAGTAAAACCATCTTATTGCTCATAAGTAAAAATGGCCTTATCGAAACCAATTATGAATTTACTGAGTTCTTATTTACAAAATTTATATTTGCATCCTATTAAAACTAAAGCTATTACAAGGTGAGTAATGTAAAAAAGTGAATAAATTAATTTGTGTGTATACTTTAACATCGATCAAAGTTCAAATCCAAAGTCTAGATTATTGTAAATTTTGTATTGACCTATGACCATTGATGTTACTGTGTTGTTTGAATATAATTATTTTACAGTTGCGTGGTAGGTTCAGTTGGCAGCTTAGCATCCCAACTGGTAGCTGGTGAAAAAATCAAGGTTGACACAATTTCTGCTTTCGCCTTATATGGGTAAGTTACACTTTCCTTCCAGTTAATAATAGGTATAACATTGCCTATAATGTTCTTTTTATATCAACTTTATTTCATTTCAGTTTATTCTTCGGCGGCACCATCCCACATTATTTATATGAAATCACAGAAAGACTGTTCCCTGAAGAAGTGGTTGCATTCCCTCTTGTGAAGAAACTGTTATTTGAAAGATTACTATTTGCTCCATTCATCCAAGCCTTCTCTCTATACACACTAGCAAGACTAGAGGGCAAAACACATAACTCTGCAACAAAACAGCTATTTGCTCTATACTGGCCTATTTTAGAAGCAAATTGGAAATGGCTAACACTGTTCCAAGTTATCAACTTTGCTTTCATCCCACCAATGGTAAGTATTGACAGAATTAATGTGGGCTAATGGGCTTTTGTTTCTGCAAGTCACAATCATGGTACCTATAAATATCTAATCAGAGAAGTGTTATTTGGCAAATTAGTTCAGATATTGTATAAAGTTCCATTGGTAGTTTATTGCATAATTGTTATTTTCCTCTTTAAAATAATCTGTTTTTCCAGCTACGAGTTCTGTTCATGAATCTTGTTGGACTTGGCTGGGCAATGTTCCTGGCCACCAAGAGACGCCAACAACAACAGAAGAAGGAATGAAGAATTTGAATTATGCTCAACACTAGGTGGTGGGTGATATAATCTGTGATGGGTGATGAACATTTAAAAGCCTTTTTTATAAATATTTACAAATGTCAATGAATTATAGGTCAAAGGTTAGTGGGGCAATATGATGACCTCTCTAGTGATGTAAATGTCTCAATTTAATGTTCTTATATTTCTATTTACACATTTATCTGCCATTGTATTGATAAGCAATAAAAAATTAAGGCCCATGACTATGCTCCTAGCACATGTTACTAAGATTTAATGCAAAGTTATGGAGTACATCATTGTTTATCACAAAGTGATATAAAATTACATTCAGCAATAAAAATAATTATATAATCTTTATTGAGGTTTTTGGTGTGAAGCCCACAATCTTATCTTGCTATATCATTTAATTACTTTATGTGAGGTATGTTTATTGCTTCTAGTGGTCAGGGACATGGATCAAATTATTCAACTATTGTAATGAAATAATAATGTTGTTATATCAGGGTACTTTATTTGACAACAGCAGTTTGTTCCATTATCTCAATATTACACAGGATTGTGGGAGTGCCTAAAACTATTTCACTAATTCATAATCTGCAAAATCAATTCTTACGCAGTGCATTTTTTAATTAAGACGAGATTTCTCTTTACAATCCAAGTATGTATAAGTTCTCTGTATATTTTTATATTATTATTAAACTGTTTTATACTGTTACATCTGAGTATTATTGAGTATCGTCATTATTTATTGCTTAATTATATTGAAACAAATAGATAGTTCCAATCATTTACATACAATACATTCTTATAACACTAGAGTTATTCAGTTTATCACCTATTCTACCATAGTATTTTAGTAAATAGAAAAATAAATAGTTTGTAAAATGACTTGAGTTAATTAAAGTTAGTTAAATTAGTAAAACGAATTAAATAGTGTAAATATGATATTTCAATAAAATATATTGCACTTTATTCTAATAAATTATAAATATTAAGTACTCGTTTTTGACTAGAGTATTTTCCGTTACATTAAAATAAATTAGAGAATAATTTAAAATAAAATTACCAACAATAAAACAAAGTAAAAATGCAATACTTAGAAATCAAGTATTCGCTTCCTATAAGGAATTTGATAGAGTAAGCACATTTGACTAGATAAAATATTATCTTAAACTATTTTTGATAAAACATCAAAAAGTCGATTACTTTGGCTTATTTGCTACCTTACACGTGGTTCATATTTACAAAAACGTCGACTAGACATTTAGATTTTATAATAAACTTTGTTTTTTTGAATTGAATAGGTACAGCTATAGATATAGATAGAAAATACTTTAGAAGTGCATGTTATGTCGTTGAATTTTGGTTTAGATGGTCCTAAGTGTGTGTCGTTTGGTATTTAGTGGTTGTTATTCTCTGTCGGGTCGCGGGGAGCGGGACCAGCTGTGCTGCGACGAGCGGCTGCTGACGGTGGAGGTTGGTGTCGATGGCGTCGGCCTCCGGTACGGGATGGGGCGCTTGCGCGCGCTGTTACGGTTATTGTGTTAGTAGGATGCTTATGAGTTAGTACAGTTAGACATGCGATATGAAAGCATACATGATCATTATTGAATTTAAATTAGATTATTTGAAACGCCAATTTTAAATTAAGATGAAATTTTTAAATCATAAATTAAATCAATTAATAGAAAGATTCAGAATAAAAGATGCAATTTAGAAACAATAGCTTACCTTATAAAAGTAAGTAAAGAAAAATAAAACATTCATAATATTGAAAGCTTCTTCTACAAAATGGTGTACAGCTTCTAGCTTCACTACCATGCAGCAAAACGATAAAAATAAAAACAACAAAAAATCGATTCAATAAACTTTAATGTGATAAAACAAAATGAATAATCTTGAAACAGAGAACACACTCGGCATGTTCTAGATAAATAGCACACTGACTACATCTGGCGGTCATCACTGTAAACTCCCATAAGGCGTATATCACATTGGCACACGTTATCCTCTTCTATACTTGAATTTGTTTGTAGAGTATGATAGATCTATTATGGGTGCGCTACGGAGGAAAAACAACTATTAAATTATGTTCCCTTCCAACTCCAAACTATCACATAATGTTAAAACGAATTAATTTATTTTTATCTTAAAAATGCATTAAATTCGACTAGTGACAGTTTAAAAATATCCCATATTTAATTGATTAATTAAATAATTATATAAAATCATTATTCCAATTTAAAACGAATTAATATCTTACGACTAGTAGCACACCCTGTTAGCAAGATCAGTGTTAGACGGACACACACATCTAGAGTTGTTATAAACAAGATGCAGAGACCAATGATAGTTCAAATATTCACAGCCAATGGGGATATATCAAACAAATATATTTAAAGCTAATCAGCCTCTATACAGATATGGACACCCAGAATATAAAAGAGATAATAATGCTTTAGCGATATATTTATATGCGAAAAATAGGGCTTATTGTTTGAATACAATACATAATGTTACTTAAACTAATCCACACTATAGCACATTCACTTCACTACTCGGAGCTACTACTCGTGTCTTCAGAACTCGTGCTATACTTTCGTGATTTTTTTCTATAAAGAAAACAAAAAAACAAAATAGATAATAGGAAAAATAATGGTTTAGTGCCATATCATGGAGTTATTGCTAGTGCACTACCCACACACGTGTGCTAGTTAGTATGAATATGATCCAATAATGGATTTACAAGAAAATGTTAAAATTACATCTATTTTACTTAAGATGTCGCTCCAAACGCTAACATCTATGTAAAACACATATTGTACATGAATACTATCTATTATTATTAAAATGAATTATAACTACCATGATATGACTCAACAAACGCAAAATAAAAATTACAAGCACACCTACAGATAATAAATCAGGATAAAAAAGCGACACACAGAAAAAGTAACACACTATGCAACCAACGTGACATCTATACGACAAAATCTTAAAAAATATCTGTACAGGATTATGACACCATAACATGACATATCGACCTGTCAAATAGTATGTCATCGTTGATTGCACTTACAAAATCCCTATTGGTCAAGAATACAGTGCTTTTAGAGGCCATTTTGAATGATACTGGGAAAGCATAGTAATTTAGTATTACTATTTGTTTATAAAAGCACTGTTCTTGTGTGTGAGAGATACCTCGTGATCCGTCGCCTATCCAAGAAGCTGGGCGAGCCAGCGCGGCGCGGTATGGAAGGCGAGCGTGATCGCGTGCGTGCGCGCGACTCGCTCGATCTACGGTAATCCGCGTATACGCCTGTCATTGTTCTGATCGATACCAATGTCGCATGCATGCATTGTTTGTTTTTCGATTTTCATTAAGCGGAAAGAAAAATTTACTGTTAATATCTTTGTTAATTATTTCAAAGAAATGTGTTGGTTCCCTTTGGCGGTTTTAATTGGATAGATAAACGGTCAGAAAGATAAGACAAATAAATGTCAACTATGGAAGCAACCCATTTCTTTTAAGTCTATTTTAACTACATATTTCAAACAAACAAACGTTATCAAGTTGCCTTAGTAATAATATAGTTTTTCTTTTAATCACCATTGGGTTTGGAATAAGACATTGAAAAATTCAAGTTAGAACTTTTTACCCATTCCTATGCTTATTTAAATCTCCCATTATATAATTTTTTTATGAATAATAGGCAAACGAGCAGACGGATCACCTGATGGTAAGCGATCAGCGCTACCCTTGGACACTCGGAACACCAGAGGAGTTCGTAACATTTTGTGACGTTAACGTGTGTCGCATTGAACGAAAGCTCCGTTCTTATTTTCTAAATACGGCCAAAAAAAATTATATTTTATTCATAGACAAGTCCAGTTCTGAACGGATATTACTACCCACCATAACTTATATTACACTTACAAGTTTATCATTTGTATCACGCAAGAAATTTAACCTTTTTCTAAGTTACGTGAGCTCTTTTCTGTATTGATACATTATCTTATTAAGTACATTTCAAACAATAAAGTTTAATGACTTAGTAAAGGAATTAATTAAAATCCAAACTGTTTTAAGGATAATTCATAATTATTTATTTTGACAAAACTTTATTGTTAGATTTAATTAAAACGAGATACAACGGGTAACACATTTAGGAAGTAATGTTTACCTAGACGATCGGGTGGACCTCGATGTGCTGCGCGAAGACCTGGAAGAACTCCGGCTGCTATACGAGGACGACCGACTTGAGCGAGACCGTCTGGAACAAACATCGGAAACATTTTATTACAACATTCAGTAACTACTGCCGTGAACAAATTAACAGCTAATCATAAAAATCTGTCTACAAATCATAGAATATATTCTTTAATATTGTTTATTAAATGATAAGTATATTATAAGCTCATGCAATAAAAAGAAATCGAACATAAAACGAACCTTGAGGAGGAATAGGACCGCGACCTGGACCTGGAGGAGCGCGAGCGTGACCGCGACCGCGAGCGGGAGCGGGACGACTTGTTCCGCGAGCGAGACACCGACGACCGCGACCGCGACACTGACCGCCGCGACGACGACCGCGACCACCGCCGCCGCGAGCCTCCGCCCGCCACCTCCTCACTCTTCCTCACCTCTGGCGACGACTCCACGTTCACCGGTGGACTCGCGTCTTTTTTAGGGCTCGGAGCCTTAGCCACTTCTGGGCTCTTCTTAACTTCTTCCACTGCAGCAGGAGATTTCTCCTTAGCTTTATCTTTAGCAGTATTAACGGGACTCTTCTCTTTCCTTTTATTATTTTCGACAACTACTTCCGTTTCTCTCGGCTGAGACTCATCCCGCGTGTCCTGCCAGGATGATGTCGACGTCGACGGTCGGTTCATCATTTCCTCGACTCTCCGGCGCTCTATTGACACTTTAGCTAGTTTAGCCAGTCTTTCTTTCAGTCTACTGAGTTCTTTGACGTCTAATTCCTCTTGCCGAAGCCTATCGTCTATCCTTGAAAATTCAATCTCATGGTCTTCGAGTTCACTGGACGAGCTGCGCATGCAAACTGCTTTCGGCTTGTAGTTCTCAGCCAAATCTTTGCTGCTTTTCTTTTTGGGTTGTAGATCTGACGGAGATTTGATGTATTTGCGTTTATCCTTTTCAGGTAACTTCTCTATGATGTCTCTGTATCGCTCGGGGCTGCGTCGTGCTGGAGAGTAACTTAGACTAGAAGTGCTTCGACTCTTGCGTGCGGAGCGCGAGCGCGACCTGTGCGCGGGCCGAGTGTCGTGGTTGCGTTCCTTGTCGGCCCGCTCGCGGTGCTCGGGCTTGGAGGGCGAGGCGCGGCGGTCCGTGGTGCCTCGCTCTGACGACTTTTTGCTTTTCTTAACCGGTGTTACACTCTTTCGTTTGTCCTTTTTTGAGCTTTTGCGTGGTGTTGGAGATTTAGACCGACTTGGTGACGGTTTGCGCCGAGATCGTTCTTCTGGTGAAGGGGACTTCCTGGTGGGCTTACTGCTTTCACGTTTACTTTCTAATTTCCGACTCTTGTGTTTGTCACCTTTGCTTTTAGCCGGAGGGGATTCTTTCCTCTTGTGTTCAGAGGAACGGCTTCGTTTCCGATGTTCTCTCTGTGGTGGGGACTCGCTCCTCTCTTTGTAGTAGCGAGCTTTGTTTTTACTTTTATCTGATTTATGTTTAGGAGCTGGTTCTGACTC